CCCAAAGTCATAAACTTCTACAAATTTGAGACCATATTAACAAAATAGAGACACTGTAAATATAAAACAACTGTATAAAATTCAAATGTTAGGTAGGAAACTTAAATTACATCTGAATAAATCTATTAATATTTATATATGACACATCTGTGTAAAATGTATTTTGTTCTTAAGATGTTGAAATATTTACAAAAGTTGTTCGTTTACTTGGTCATCCAGAAATCCTTGATAAATGCAGACAGAGATATGGTCAGCCATTTTAATGTTAATTGACTAACGTTAGCTCATAAATAGAAGCAGTGTTCTATAGTGACTGTGATCAACTATAGATTAATCTCATTGTGACCTTGGAAAGTTGTTTATATTCCATATCTGTTCAATTCCATATCATATCAATAATATTAGGAAAATAATAATTTCTTTGTGTGTTTGAATGTGTGTGTGCACAGCGTGTTACTTATGTTGGTGAAGGTTAGACATGTGTGTGCAGCTCTACATGACATGCTTGAAGAGGTCAGAGATCCATCTCAAGTATCTTCTTCAGGTGAAAAAAAGGTCTATCACTTAGTTTGGCACTCATCAAGTCCGTCAGATTGGCTGGCCAGTTAGCTCTAGGTAACTGCTATTTCCACTACACCTGAAGTTGCAGGTGGACTCCACTGTTACCGACGTTTGTAGTAAGAGGAGCAGTGGGCTGTGTCCCACCACCTGACTAGCTTAACCCCAAAATAATTGCACAGAAACTGTATTCATTTAAATACTGCCTGGCCCATTATCTCTAACCTGTTATTGGCTAACTCTCACATCTTGATTAACCCATCTCTATTAATGTGTATAGCCATTTAACTGTGGCTTACCTGTATGAGTCTAACCAGCATCCATCTCGGGCAGCAGAATCATGGTGTCTGCCACACTTCCCTTCTTCCCAGCATTCTGTTCTGTCTACACCTAAGGGCTGCACTATCAAAAGGTCAAGGCAGTCTCTTTAGTCAACCAATGAAAGCCACACATAGAAAGAAGAACCTCCTACACCAGACATTTACTTGGGTATTGGGGATCTGAACTCAGATCCACATGCTTTCACATCAGGCCCTTTACTGGCTCATTCTGCTCCCCAATCATAAAAATAATAGTTTCTACATCATAAAGCACTTTGGAAAAGTAAATGTTACAGCATAAACCAAATGTTTCAGACCGTTATAGTTTGTAGTATACACAAATAATATTAGTATGAATATTAGCTCAAAAGTTAAAAGCATTTTTTTTGTTTGTTTGCTGAGAGTTGCTTTTATCGCTTGACTTTTGAAACCAAAGGTCAATTGACAAGCTCTGTTCAGATATACCCAACCTGTGTGCATCTTTCCTAACTAGTAGCATAAAGAGATGCGCTCACTCAGATTCTAATACATTCTCTCACATATGATTAGCATTTTGGAGAGTTATCTGAGAATGCGGTTTTTTTTCCTTTAATTAAAATAGATTCTTTTTTCCATAATATATTCTGATTACAAGTTCCCCTCCCTTTATCCTTCTCAGTTCTTCCCCACCTCCCCTTCCAACCATATCCACTCCCTTTCTGTCTCTCTTTAGAAAAGAACGGGTTTCTAAGAGATAATAAAAAAATGTAGCAAAATAAAATATAATGAGATAAAGCAAAAACTATCACATTGAAGTTGGATTAGAGAGACCAACAGAAGGAAAAGAGTCTAAGAAAAGACACAAGAATCAGAAACCCATTCATTTATACTCAAGAATCATATAAAAACACTGAACTGGAAGTCATAATCTATATTCAGAGGACTCAGTACAGACCCGTGCAGGCCTTGCACATGCTGCTTCAGCCTCTGAGTTCATGTGAGCTTTGATGGTGTTTATTTTGAGGGCCTTGTTCTCCTCCTGTCCTCCATACACTCTGGCTTTTACATTCTTTCAACCTCCTTTTCTGTGGGGATCCCTAAATTCTGAGGGTAGAGAAAATGCATGCTTTTTTAAAGATATCTGATTTAAAACAAAACAAAAAATGAAGTGGCATTAATTCAAAATAACTTATATTGTATTATTATTATTATTATTATTATTATTATTATTATTGCTTTGTATGAGTGCACATGTGTAGACGTGAGGACACAACTTGTTTAATTTAGTTTTCTTCTACCACATTTCAATACCCTGGGATTGAACTCAGATTATTAGGATTGGCTTCAAGTGCCTTAAACCTCTGAGCCATCTCACTTGTCCACAACTCAAAATAACGTAAGGAGTGGAAGCTGGAGGCATAGCTCAATGACTGAGCAAGTTCCCTTAGGTGCAATCCCTGGGGCTGTATACATGTGTGTATATGGAATGGGAAGGAAGAAGAGGAGAAGAGAGTGAGAGAAATCATGAACAGAGGGTGACATAGAAAGGCAGACAGAACACAACAATAGAAAAAGAGAGAGAGATGGTGAGTGAGGGAAACAGCGAAAGATGCTGGAAAAGTCACAGAAACCAAGCACGCTAAAATCAGTATTTGGAAAACAGCTATACATACAAACAAGAAAAACGTGTAGAATTATCTTCTTATTTCTGTGATAAGAGTTCTGAATATTTATTTTAGAGATTAAAGACTTGGGGGCGTGGTGAGAAAACTGAAAATTTTCTGTAGCAAGGAGCCAGGTGTTTGTCAATTGGCGAGAGCTGCACAGAAGAAATTCCAATTGCATGTGAATGTTGTAGGTGCCACCTTGGAGAGCAGAGTCTAGAAAGTACTACGGACAATATCTAAAACCCTGGTAGAGGGCAGACATTAAAATAATGTGATTACAAATAAAGCCAGTGTGGTGGCTATTTGTTCTTATCGATTTGACTTCACCCATAATTAGCAAAAACCCAAAAATAGAGGGACATAACTATGAGGAATTTTTGCTTAGTTTAATGTGGGAAGATCCACTTTTATTACAGATTTTTTGAGGTGAGAAAACACACCTTTAATTCAGATCTTTTGAAGTGGGAAGACTCACTTCTAATCTGGTCCACATCTTTTGCTGGAAGCCTATATAAGGACATGAAAGGAGGAAGGTTGTTATCTTTGCCTGCTTGCTGTTGCTCATCCTGGCATGTCCATTCTTCACTGGCCTTAAAGCCTACTTCTTTAGGATTCCATTGTATACTGAAGACCAGATAAGACATCTATCCTAAAAGACCAAACATCTACTTGATATATAAAGGTTCAAGAGACCTTCCATGGCAGCCATTGTTGGGTTAGCTGGACCACAACATGTAAAGCATTCTAATAAATCCTCTTCCTATACATAGAGAGAGAGATTCTGTAAGTTTAGTTATTCTAGAGAATCCTGCCTAAGACAGTCAATTAAGTAATGCTATTTTCTCCAGTGTGGTAACACAAAGATAATTAAAGCTCATTTTTTTGTTTTTTTAATGAATTTGAGGATCACAAGAAATGGGTACCAGAATGTAAAATATGAACAATTGTGTAACATATGAACAAGATGAGAGGAAGGTACTGAAATCAGCAGGAAAGTGATGAAAATTATATTAGAATTTATACTGAAGTATAATAATATAACAGAATGAGACAACATGAGTCATGAGAAATCTATATGCTAAGTTTTACCTTTGTTATTATCTCACCAAGATTGAGCCCATTTCGTACGCTGTGTTCACGACGTTGTGTTGGTACTTTTCCATCAGGAGGTGGGGTCTAGGTCTATTCCCCCTTGGAACTCAGCAAAATTTTGCAGTTGCCTCCCCCAGAACATTGCGGTGAATTATGTATCCTGATTCTGGAAGCTACTCACGAGAATCACTGCTATATTTTGTGTATCCTTAAGATTTGTCCCCTCTGGTTTAATTTGTGCACTCAAAAGGAGAGGAGGTTAATTTTTATGGTACTATATTTCTCCTATCAAATAAATCACTGGGTGTAATATTGCCATTAGCAGACTTCTGTTGTACAAAACCTACATACAAGCAGTGTGATTTACAACCATGATACAATCAATCCATTTTCAGAGAAGTAATGTCTGATATTAAGTCTTTTACTTAAATCTGCAAAGATAATTTATGGTGTTATAATTTCAGTTCATTGGGTTTTAGTAAACTGAAAATAAAATCTGATTTCTCTTCTAATGTAAAATGAACATTAACAGAATGTAATATAAACAGTAAATTACAAGGCAGTGGAAACACAGATGCTCCTCTTTCATTTGCATTTCTCTCTTTTTGTTAATTTCTCGCCAAAGGTAATACTTTATATTTACTAAACATCGATTTAAAAACGGATCAGGGTAATTCGCTTCATTGAATTTCAAGGAAGTTGTAAAATGAGGAATAACTGAATGCAAGTCAGAGCGATGACGATCTGGTGAATAGTTAGCTTCCTGTAGAGGATTTATGCTTCTCTGAAAGGATTCTTTTTTCACACTGAGGCTGGGTTTTGAAGAAATTGGGAACATGTCACAGAAGTGACCTAGTTTTTCGTCGTCTTGGGGTTTGAAACATTTGCAAGCATGAGACATATCTATCTCACATTTGAATGTACCTTGCATTTACAATATTTTCCCGGGTTGTTTATGCCATTGCTCCTTTTCTATATCCTGAAATTATAAGACATTAACTTAATGAGACATATTCATGAATAGGGGACTAAACATGGTCAAATGTCTTGGAAGACTGTTATATCCAGGAAGCACCGCTTAGGAGTCTAGTCAATGTGCAGAGAATGCATCATTTCCCCTGTTATTCTGTTTGCAAGCTTTTGTGGAAGCTTAATATCCTGGGTTCGTACACTGAGGAGAATAATTGAATTTGGATAGAATTAGGAAAGTTCACAGCTCAGGACAAATTGGCGAGGAAACGGTGACATCAGAAGCTGACTCTGATTGGTGGTGTGCTCTTATGAAGAGCAGAAACAGAAACCTTCTTCCCGAAGTTTCAGTTGGAAAGTTGGTTGGAGTCAGCACTTCTGCCTTGCTCCCAGGTGAACAGCAAAGTTGTCCAACATGATAGTGTTCATCTTCCTGGGTAAGTGAGCTGTGTGGCTAGTTCTGAATTTATTGCAATATTAACTCTTTGTAAACTGAATGCTGTCCCATATAGCTTAAGTTCATGGAAACAGCCATAAGAAATACCAATGATATTACCAACGTGTGCTTTGATGTTATTTACTGCTTTTGAGAAACGTGTATTTACCTGCAGTCACTTGTTTCTAACTCTATAGAAAATACAAAACATGAGCTTTTCATTGCTCCATCACATTGCTCCTGTAAGTAAAATAACCTAGATGACTTTGAACCACTTATTAAGATCTATTTTCGATATGTGCAAGAACTTTTGAAAAATGCACCTATCCAGTATAAACTCATAAGTTGAAGATGACAACGTTTTATTTTTCTATTTAGCTTTAAAAGCAGATTAAAGGGGGGAGAGAGATAGAGAGAGAGACAGAGACAGAGAGACAGAGCAACATAAATTGTCCCTCTAATTTTCAACCCTAATAACCAGGAACAGCTGTGGCGAGCAAAGCTGCTGAACTCTATATTAATGCTCTGCTCTTGAGTGACATATATGGCCTCTAGGTAAAATGTGGGCTCATCTCTCTTGCATTGGGGCATTGTAAGAGGTTGGTTCAAATAATTTTCCTTTAATATAGAGCCCACAAAAATCTACTTGGTAGATATGTGATTGATGAAGGTTAATATGTTAGCATCTATGTATTGATTTCAGAATGAGGGAATAATTGTGATTATACTGGATATTAATAAACAAACTGGAATATTTTCTGTGCTATAACTATAGTTGTTGATGAATGGGACTAAATAAAGCCAGAAAATAATGTAGGTTATACCAAATTACATTAAAAAGAAAGGGAAAGCAAAATAAATCAAATCCAAGAAAATTAGCCAGGAAGTAAAGGATCATTTGTACATTTTCAGTCTCTCCATGGAAATTCTTGTGTTGAGAGGTTTTGATTCTTCTTGTTCTTATGATGTTTTCTTATTTCTTTATTAGTTTCTAGTGTTTATAGCTTCATTATATAGAAAACTCTAGTAGCTTCAACTTTGTAGCAAAGTATCAGATCACACAAACCATGTCCCTTCTTTCTCAAGGCTTCTGCTGAAAAGGCTATTGTCATATGCTGTCATCCTTTACTTCCAAATTAACACAGAAAATAGGTTGTGTGAGAAAAGGAAATTAAAGGTTAGGACTGAAAATTTCTCTGTCCTGCCCAGCTTTTGTTCAGTATATATAATTACATCCTATGATGAAGCAAAGTCCTGTTGCCCAAAACTATGGGGGAAATGGTGAATTTGTTAATGAACTTTTTTATACATCCTTAAGAGGGTAATATACTTTACAGCATTCTTTGTCTTACTACTTTTAACATGACTTTTTTTTTTTACTTTTAACATCAGTAGAATTTTTGACAAATCCCATTTCAAATATCAAGCCCATAAATCATAGCCAGGAACAAGTAAGGCAGAGTATGGAAAGAGAAAGCTGGGCTTTGGTTTCTTGAGGGTCAAATCATTGCATGATTTCTTTAGTCCATTAGGTACACCATTTAAGTATAGAAAATGGTGCATAATTCAAGTGGAATACTCAACAAGCAGTTGAAAAGGAGAAAGACATAAGACACATTTGGGGAAGAGCTTACATAGGATCACTACAATGAGGACCTGGGGAGGGTGACATGCAGGCAAATGTGAGTTTCCTAACTGAGTTGGTCACATGTGCCAAGATGACTGCTATGCCAGCTTTGGGAACTCTGAGCTAAAGACATGAGCCTACCCTCTTAGTTTAGAAACTCAGGAAGAATTAGATGGGGTCCAGTCAGTTTTCTTGGATTCTTAGAAAACGAGGGTTGGAAAGAGGTAACACAAAAGAAATTTACTTTATACCTTATAACACTATATTGCCACAGAGAACCACAATTAACCCCTTCTTGTAAAATAGGTAGATGCCTTGGCTCAAACAAAGCTTGTAGTTCCTATATCTGACTCCATTGGTATTCTTATATTTTTGCATTTATTGAAAAGGCAAGTATCTGTTTTATATGTTTGATAAAAGAAATTGATTTAATTGTAAAATACCTAAATTAGGATTGCTATTGTATTGATTGCTTTCAGAAAACTTTCCTGAAAATAACTTTTAAATACTTGTATGATTTATTAGTTATTATATAGATCTCATCTGTTAAGAGCTAAACTGATGTAAACCAACATATACTAATTGGATACTTGTAAAATGCATCTGTGTGTTGAGAATACAACTCTAAATTGCCCCTATTACCTGTCTAGTAAACCTAAAGAACATAGTGTTGTAGAGAGGCCCATGAATACACACTGCAGGGCAAGAAATTCTACACTTTTGGGATTTCTAGGCTTCAAGGGAGACAAAATAGGGATGTGTGCTCATTTCAGTGATAGAAAAAAAAGTAGAAACTTCAGAGTTTTCCATAACATAGATAATGATCACAATCAGTTTTAAAGACAAAGTGTTATCCCAGAGGACAAGAATTTGATTGCTTACTAGAAGCCAGAGGGTAAACTTTAAAGAAGAAAGGCAGCTTGGAGCACTGCAGAAAGTTTTATGATTTCTGGGTGGCATGTGATAAAGAATCTGAAAGTCATGTCATGAGGAGTCACCCAAAGAGACTAAACAAAGAAATGGCAGTACTATAAGTGTGTTCCATACATAAGGTGACATAAAGGACTGCTCTGAGTCAAACAAATCCAGAGAACAGGCAATTAGCCAGGGAAGGATTTCAAAGTGCAGAGGCACAAACTTTGCAGGTAGAGAGCTATGGGGAATGAAGTTGGGGATGCATTAAAGCATCTTTCATGAATTGTTGGATGTCTACCCTATCAGTGCCATTGTTGATGAAGTGCAGGGATTCACCAGAGAGGATTGATGAAACGGTTAAATAAATCTGAGTCTGGAATCTTGTCTACAGCATGCCAATAGAAAAAAATACTCTTTATCTAGGCTTTGTATTGAAACTATTAGCATTAAATCATATATTTGAGAATCTTCAGTCTAGATTTTTATATCAAGCAGTGAGAGAAAGAAGATTCTCCCTGAAGAGTATGAATAAAACCAAGAAAGTTCTGCAAGCAGAGCATAACATGAAAATATATTTTAACTGAGTGTAAGGGGATGACAGGTCTCAGTGGATGGTATAAGGTGATGGATGAATCATCGAGAGATCTAGAAGAGACCATTTCTAGAGGAAGAGGGAGATTCTAGGAAAACAAATCATCCAAGTGACCAGACACTGACAGATGAGACAAAGTCTTAAAAGTGTCATGTGTGATGTTAAGGGTTAATAAAAGAAATGTGTTAAAAGTGGTTTAGGGACTGGAGAGATGGCTCAGCAGTTAAGAGTGCTTGCTGCTCTTCCCAAGTATACAAGTTGGGTTCCCTATGCCCATGTTTGGCAGCTTGCGATCACATTAAAAAGCAGCTCCAGGAGATCTGACTCCCTCTTGCGGCCTCCATAAGCACCCACACATGTATGCATAAGTGCACATAAACACAAATTGAAATAAACCTGATTTTAGAAGTGTTTTTGATGGAACAAAAGGAATAAAAAATTTCACAAGTCAAAAAGTAAGTGGAAAGTGAGAATGCAAAGCTGGCAAATAATAGATCTTGTCTAAGAATCTTAACACATCGCAGCAACAAGTAAGGGCGTGTAAGTATTTCTGTGCTTTGTGGGATTGGAATTCTTTGGGTATAGGCCCAAGAATGCTAGCACTCCATCTATCTTTAGTTTTTTGAGAACCTTCCACACCAATTTCCACACTCCCGCCAACAGTGTAGGGTCTTTCTTCACGTTCTCACCAGCATTTGTTGTTTGTTTCCTTGACAAAAGCCATCCTGCCTGATGTGAGATGCAGCAGCAATGAATTATGCATTTGTACTTCCTTGATGACTTAAGGGTACTGAACATCTTATCAAACAGAGGGACCATGTGGTGGGAGAAGGAGGGTAAGGGAGAAGCCATACAGGGTCAAGTAAGACTAAGATACAAGGATACATACGTATGAAAATGTCACAATGAAACGCATTACACTGTATGATAATTAAAACAATTAATGAAAATTACCTATTTACAATAGAGAAATACAGAACTGTGGGGAGTGGGGAAGAAAAAAATTTTTTTTCTACCTCCTAATAGTTCTGCCACATAGTATTGCCCATTATTTTGTCTTTCACTGTCAATAGCTTAAATTTGAGGGAATTCAAATTTGGACACCAAACTGTAACCCTGCGAACATGTCATTATTTTCTTGTCGTTGCCGCCGCTGCTGCTGTTCAAGTTGCGAGGCTAAGCTCAGAAACTGAATCCTCTTCCCAGACAAACGACTGTGCACATTTAAGGCAGCAATGCTTGATTGATACGAACGGCTGTGAGCAGTCATGGAGATCAATGGAAGACACCTGCATTGTTCCAGGTAAAACCTAGTGTATTAAGTCCAGTTCTTACAATGCCAGCGTCTCCATCAGCAGAACTCGAAGGATTCTGCAGGATGTTGTATATGACTTTCTCTCCCCTGCCCTGGAGAGAGAACAGAAATATTTATACTCATAGGAAAGTGACAGCTGTCACACCCAAGTGCTCACACATTTGCTCAGAATAAAATATTTTAAGATGAGGTCAGAAGATGACAAAAAAAAAGAGCCCTTACTTGTTTTGATGATGAAATGCCTAGTTGACTAGAGAACATTAAATGTTGTATTAAAATATTATATTTAATCTGTCATAAATCAAAAGTTATTCAATATGTTAGTAAATAAATGAGTCATTTGCAATACATTGCAGTAATATTTGAATAATTATTTTATATGTGAAGCAGGGAGAAAAGTACCCAAGTATACAAATAAATAATTTAATTACTTTTTTAATGAAAAAACATTATAGGTTAGAGGCAAATTAATTTTTAACCAGAAAATGAAATACTGGTAATTATAAATGACTTATTTATTATTCATAAAATGCTAAGTGTTAGGAGAATTTTAACTTTTCATAAAAATATTAGAATCACTTGCATATCTTTTAATATAGTTTTAGTAACAAATACAATAAAATAGGTTACAACAAAAGAGCAAACAAAACAGTTAAAGTGATAGGATAGTTGAGACTAAACTGCACACCAGTCACCCCATATAAAATCAGCTTGAATATTATTGAACAGCAACCATCATTTAAAACACAGAAAGCTTTAAAGTAGTTTGGGAAGCATTCTGTGGGTGGACACACACACACACAAAATATTTTGTTTAAAAAGTTGCTTCTAATTTGTTCCACAATAGACATCCTGATATTCTGACTCTTGTAATCTTTCTGCGCTCCTCCCACATGAAGCTCCCTGAGCCATAGATGCAGGAACTGTGATATAGATGTATCTGCTGGGGCTGTCTGGGATCTACTGGGGCTGGCTGCAATCCACTCAGGCTGACTGGGATCCGCATGATTTATTGATCTCTGGACTGTACCCAGTTGAGATTTTGTGTCATAGTTTCTATTTACTGTGAAGAGGAGCTCCTTGGACTGGAGAGATGGCTCATCAGTTAAGAGCACTGGCTACCTTCCAGAGGACCTAGGGTAGATTTCCAGCACCGGCATGGCACTTCACAGTTGTCTATACCTCCAGTTCCAAGGGATCTGATAACTTCTGTTCTCCATTGACACGGGGCATGCATGTTGTACACAGACAAACATAGAGTCAAAACACTCAACACACACACACAAGTAAATCTTAGAGAGAGGGGAAAAGGAAAACTTCTTTGATGAAGAGTTAATAGCTACATTTATCTGTGGGTAGAAGGATAAGATTTAGAATGTAGTAGGTCTAACAAATTCAGTAGTAGATTTTCTTCTAAGATCCATGATCTCATTAGTCAGGGGAAGTTAGCTAGGTTTCTAGTAACAGACATGACTGCTTTCCTGTCGAACAGGTCTTCAATTAGAAAGCTACTGGTTACCACCAATACGTGAGTGACATTTACTGCACCTTTATGAATATCTTTCCAAAGTCTGTTTGCGAAACAGTCTGCCACAGAAATGGCTGTATAAACAGGATTTGAACAATGGCAAGACTAATAGACACACTAGTGAGGAAGAGAACAATCTCGGCAGAATCATTCCCCTGGACAAGGAACTACAGGCATCTGATGACTGCCAAGAAGGGAAAGTTAGTCTCTTCAAGAGTTGAGGGGCATAATTGGTTGTTCAATACAAAGTTATCAGCCTTGAAACATATTCACACAGCAATAAAAACAGACTTAGTAGATTGTTTTTATAAATCTGTGCAAACACACACACACACACACACACACACACACAGATATCATCTTTCTCTCCGTCTATGTAACAAATCAGAGAATAAAAGACTATCAGTTTGAGAGTAGGAGCAATTGAAGGAGTAGGAAGGAGGGGATTTGAGAGGAGCTTGAAGAAGGGAAGGGAAAGGGGAACAATGTAATTATATTGTATAATTACAAAAAATAACATTCTATAATTGTAAAAAAATGTATAAAATTTTTAAATAAAATAAAATGAACCGGGGGTCCATGTGTAGCTCAATGGTAGTGCATTAACCTGATACATAAGCAGGCAAATTACACCCCTCTTAGGAGGGACGAGGGGGGCAAAATAGAATGAGTAAGCTGTCCCTGGGCAGTGTGGTCAAGTTTCTCTCTTTTCTGTTTGGTATTTGTAATTTCTATGCATTGGAGGACTTCTTAGTAATTACACTAGTAACTCCACCCTTGATCCAGATGCTTTTATGTCAAACCCCCTCAATGGTGGATTGCTTAAAAATAGAGTCCAGAATTTATGGGTATTCAACAAATCTTGATTGATTCTGATTCACTAAGTGTTTGGGGGACAAACGATATGACTTCTTTGGCACTTTCTGGGTAACTTAAATACCAAGGGGCCTAGTTCTTTGAGTGCTGTACCCATATCAAATGTAATATTTGTAAATTTAAAGGCATCCCATAGCTAATAATATTTCTGTTTACTGTTAAAAATCTGGAGAATAAAGTCACTTTGATGAACATCCTTTAGCAAACCAGATAATCTTTCTAAACTCATGAATTTCTTGGGTTGATGCATTAAAAGCATTTTGGGAAGAAGAACTAAAATTTATATTCAGATTAATATCTTAAGTATTATATGTGATTATGAAACCCAGGTGACTCCTGCAAGATAAATAATTCACCACATTGTAACCTGAGTATCCAGTCTTTGGTGGAAAAAGATTTCCGATTTAAAGAGTGTCTTTGTATCGATGACCTCCACTGTACAGTGAACAAACTTTTTGGGAAAAAATGCATCAATAAGACAGGTAATATTCATTGAATCAGTTCTTTATTTCAAACCTAAATCCTCCTCAGTCATTGTGCATTCATTTTTGTAGCACATTTACTGTATTTCAGTTGCTAATATTCTATTGATATGTCTGAGTTCAAGCAGGATATTGATATATTTTCTAGTGTTATTAAATCTGTTATATGTCTAATGTGGCTGTTAAAACTAAGTTGGAAAGTACTTTCTTTTCTATACTCTAGAACAGTAGAGAAAGAATTGACACTCTTGCTTTCTTCAATTACTGGTTTACATAGTACTGTAGCTTCACAATTCATTATGTTATACATAAAAAAGTAAATTTGTATGATTAATTGTTATAGAATTGGCCTAGATTTTATGTCATTAGTGAGCTTTGTAGCTTATCTTTCATTTTCCATATTTATATTATAGTTTGTTTTTTTTCTATGTGACTCCTATGACTTTTATATCTGTAGATCTCTGTAATATGTTGCTCTTAATAGTTTCTGGTTGTTTTTTAATGTGTGTAGAAATTATACTGTTTTTTTGTTCATGTGTTGGTAGTTTGTCCTGTGTGTATGTGTTTCTTATATTTTGTGGGGTTCATTTGACTTATAAGCTGGCATTCATTTTCAGTTTTGTTTTCTTTAACAGAAAATGATGGTGAGTGCTCACCCATGTGTGAATCAGCTGTAACACCCCCACATTGTTGTTAGCTCATCTATTCTTTGGATCTTCTTTTCTTTGGCTCTTTTGGCCTTTGGGGGCCCCACAACCCAGCTCTCAAATAAATCACATTGAGTCTCATTCTTTCTTATTAATGCCCAGTCTTAGCTTGGCTTATTTCTAGTCAGCTTTACTTAACTTAAATTATCCCATTACCTTTTGCCTCTGGACTTTTAACTTTCTCTATTTCTGTATATCTTTTCTTTTCCTTCTTAACCTGTGTCTGGCTGTGTGGCTGTCCCCTTCTTTTCTTGCTCCTCTGTCTTCTCTTCCCAGATTTCTCATCCTATTTATTCTCTTTGCCTGACAGCCCCACCTATCCTTTCTCCTGCCTTGATATTGGCCATTAAACTCTTTATTAAGCCAATCAGGTGTTTTATACAAGCAAAGTAACACAGCTTCACAGAGTTAAACAAATGTAACAAAAAGAATGTAACCCATATTCGCACCATTAAACAAATGTTCCATAGCATAAACAAATATAATACATCTTCAAATAATATTCTGCAACACTCCCAAATCAAGGCTTAGGGAACACTGAGGAACAGAGAGTAGATTGACTAAGTGAAGAGGTGGGGACAAAATATGAAATGCTGCTCTCTGGACATGATATAGCCAATGCCCAAGTCAACCCACACCAGCCATGGCTGCCTACATGAGACCCACACAAAATAAGACCCTTTGAAATTCCAGCATGGGTAGAGAAGACGTTCCCAAGGCCTGATCCTTAGAAGAGAAACTATTGGCATTTGATGGCTAATAAAAAAGGGCAATGACCTTAGTTTGGAGATACTGGTGCTAGTAGTTGCCCATGTTCCCGTGGATATTTCCATATCCATTTCCCAAATAGAATTAACTTGACTCAGTGATCTACTACTACTACTACTACTATTACTACTATTACTACTACTACTACGAAGAAAAGAATAAGAAGAATAGTAATAAAGAATAAAGAAGAGGACATAGAATTTGGAGTGAAACAATGAAACAATTTGGCAGGTCTTATGAAAAGTCAGAGAAACCTGTAGGGTATGGATATGATCAAAATACATTGTAAACATGTATCATAATTTCAAAAAAATAATTATAATAATAAAACATAGTAATACAAAATAATAAAAATTTACTTTGCACTCAGTTTTAGCTCATTTTATAAGGAGTCTAGATAGCAACACTCTTTTTCATTGAATCGATTTGTTCTTTGACAACTTCCATACTTCTTTTTCTAAGAGGGAAAAAGCAGGGCACAATCACAATTATGTCAAAGTAAAATCAAACTCCAACAGTGTAATTAATTGTCTCAGTGTCTAAGTGTCTGGGAATCATTCAGAGTCTTCTGACTTCCAAACGGCTTGGGAAACTCCACATCTTTGGATCTGCCCTAACCAGAACACACAGCCTATCTTGTCGGCTTATTCCATACATACTGCTGTCTTTGGTGGACACCCCATTGTCCTAGCATCTCTAATATGCTGGAGCCCCCACTGTAACTCCATGAATGGTCTTCTGGCCTCTCTCTAGGTATTTTGACCCTAGCACTTGATGACAAACCTCAGTTTCTCTCCATGATTTCCTCAATCCTTGGATCTCCATTTCCACTTAAGCTGAACCTTTACACCTCCTGGCTTCTCTGAAAGGATTCCATCATAACCACAGGGTGACAAGCCTCAGCTTCTCTCCATGACTGTTTTGTGCCTTCACAACCAATACCATGTGGTAGCCTCTCACGCATTACCAAATTCAGCTGTCCTCATGAGATGTAGCCTTTGCTCCCCTGAACTATAGCATCTTCTCAGAAGAGTTCACCTGAATGTCCTTTCAAATTATTGTCTCCTCTGCTTCATCACTTCGTTAACGTATAGTTCATTTAAAAGTTGTTAATTGTCAGACACCAGAGCTGTCCTAGGTACCTTCCTTGTTGATCTTTAGTTTAATTCTGAAGTCAAGAAACCTATTTCAGACTATCTCAATTCTAATGAGTTTCAAAATTTCCAGGTATCACTTTTACAGTGTGCTGTGTTCTACGTGATAGCTATGCACCCACCCACAATGAACATGCATATAGAGTATTTGACAACATAGCAGAGGAAATAATTGCGACTTCAAACATTTCATAGAACTGGTAGAAATTCAGTGACCTGGGATTTTTAGGGAGGAAAAAAAGAAATATGTGTTGTAACCAGAGGCAATAAAAGGAATTAATAACCATTTGAGGAACAGCAAATTCTTTGTTGTGCTGTATTGTAAGATAGAAGAATATCTCAAGATGATTTGAGAAAGAAACCAGATGCTATAAATCAGGGAAAGTTGGACTTACTTGCTTTTCTGACATGATTAGATTTAATGCTTTGCTGCTAGGAGCTGTTGCATATTTTAAACAGAGAAATGCAAAATTGACCTTTTTTTAAATGTCTCTTTGAGGAATTCGAAGAGAATAGAAAAAAAGTGAGATATCACCCTTGTCCAAACTAATGAGAAGTGACACGCTTTCAAACCAGCACAGAAGTCCTGAGAATTATAAGATACACTTCAGTGAAAAATTATGAATTATAATCATGAATACTTGGTGACCAGTTGGAAATGTGTGTGAAGGCATCTAAAAGATCAGGAAGAATAACAACCTTTGTTAGTGAAATTTCACAATCTAATTAAAGAACCCAAAAGTTGACAAGTTGATGACAAACATTGTGGCTACTGTAACTCCCTCTGTCTCTACTCAATCCCCCTTCCTTCCCATCTCTTCACAAATTCTTTTCTACCATTCATATCATTTTTTTTCTTTTTTTCCTTTAGCATTAGGGAGAAAAACTACAAACTATTAAATTTCCAAAGCCAGAATAAAAAGAAGGCAGAGAGGGTAGTCAACCATTCTAGATGGGAGAAATTAGTACCAAAGGGTGTGGAAGTGACATTATTTTGGTAATTAGTGTGTCTTCCTTAATTTTAGGTTGAAAGTAGACTGAGTTGCAATCATTTGAAATGTTTATTCAAACAGTGACTCATTTTTTTTCCCAAGACAGTAAACTCTTAACTATGGCCATCCTCATGCCATTTTCACAAAATATCATCAGTTAACAAGTACAGACAAATTCAGAGAGGTTAAACTCATTTCACAATAAAAAAAGTGTTTTTCACAGAATACAAATTCATTTAAGACTGAAGTGTGAATTATGGACAATCCAAGCAACAGAATCCTTCTATCCAGTGACCTGGAGGTGGAAACCTAAATAATTCCTCAGGTGTATTTCATTATGGACCATTTGAGGGCTGCAGGTTCAAAGAACACCTAAGAGACTGCCTACAACTCAGCTTAGAGAGCAAAGGGGCATGATAGCTTCAGTCTCATCATGCATTCTATTCTGGGCTCAGCGCTCTCCACAAACCCTTTGATGACACTGCAGGAAGAAAAGTCTTTCTCTTTCCGTGGTGTCACTAAAACACTCCCCAGCATTTACAAACCTACATGATTAAGTCTGTACATTTTTGATTATGTCAAAATTTCCAGAATAGTACCTGAAACTTACTATACTGTCATCAAATTTGTTGTGTAAATACTTAATTTCTCAGTGTTTGATCATATGTTGATTCATAAAATAGTTAAATTCAGTTAACATAGATAGGTGTATCTTAATCCCTGGTGCAATATACATAAACCTTAGTAAAGGCTTTTAGTAGCTAACGTCATAGAGCAAAACAGACATTTAGTAGGATTATGTAATTTAACTTGGTTTATTTCATATATAGTTATAAATTATATATATATGTATATATATATATATATCATAAAACAGATTTATATTTAAGTAGATGCAAAGCTTATTAGAAAAGAGTCAATGAGGAACTAATTGCATGAGGCCAGCCTTCATTCACATATATTTCACAATGTGTGCCCAGGCTTGCAAGCTAAGATGGCCTCTGTTCTTATTAAAGAGTCTGACTTACAGCAATTTACTGTGTGCTCTTGTTTGAAAACTGTTCTAATTCTACAATAGTGTGTGTTTCAAAGCATATTCCAGAGTTATAACCAAAGACAAGTTTTTATAATGGTACCATAAGTAGATTGTAAGTAAATATTTACATAGCATGAAGTTAGGAATACGGCGTTTTTCTCATATACCTACAAAGCATTTGAAAAAATGAAACTGTGACAAACACTTGTGTAATAAAACCAATAAAAACAACTTAAAAAATAAATAAGGGAAGTATAATCCACTAGAAAAAAGAACACCGAAGGCATACCTATGTCCATGATGCTCACTATGGAGGTCATCTGAGGTACCTTGTAGGAAGAAA